AGAGAGAGAGAGAGAGAGAGAGAGAGAGAGAGAGAGAGAGAGAGAGAGGAGAGAGAGAGAGAGAGAGAGAGAGAGAGAGAGAGAGAGAGAGAGAATGGAAAATGGGGGGTAATAGAGAAAGTCGAGAGAAGAGAAAAGGATAAAGAGAGGGAAGGGGAGATTGATTATTATTGATTGAAAACGGAGAAGGGTGGGAGAGGACGGAAGAGAGGGGAGGGAGGGAGGGGAGGGAGGGGAGATTGAGGGAAGAAGGGTGATTCAGACACACTTCTCGCTCTTTTCTCTTCCTTTATTCACAAATCCATCACGCCCATGGACGTGAACAGACACATACACACGCACACACACACACAACTGAGGGGGTGAGTGGGGTGGGTGAGTGGTCAGAGAGAAAGGGGGCTAGTGACAAGTGGGGAGTGAGGGAAAGAAAGAAATGGGAGAGGAAAGAAAGAAGAAGAAAAAAAGGAAGGTCGGGGGATAAGAAATACGGAAGAGAGCGAAAGGGAGAGAAGAGAGAGAGACGGAAAAAAAGGGGAGAAGAGATGAAAGGGAGGAAGGATAAAGAGGGGGAGAAAGGAATGGGGAAAGTGGACGGGGAGAAACGGGAAGAACGAACGAAGGAGTGAGTGTGTCAGCTGTGTACCTGGTGTTCAATGTGTACACTTTAATGCTAAAAGTGTTCATTTCTCTACATCTTGAACACAGCTTGAGGGGGGGGGTGTAAGGGGGAGACAAGATGAGGGAAAGAGGAACGGGGAAGAGGGATAGGGAAGGAAGAAAAAGAAGGAGAGAGAGAGAGAGAGAGAGAGAGAGAGAGAGAGAGAGAGAGAGAGAGAGAGAGAGAGAGAGAGAGAGAGAGAGAGAGAGAGAGGAGAGAGAGAGAGAGGAAATCTGCTAAATAGTGTTAAAAGGCAGACTACAGTTACCAATACTATAAGAGCTACGGGAGGTTCAGGCAAGACGGGAAATTACTCTTTAAAACAAAAACAACAACAAACTAAACGAGGGTAAAGAGTAGACAGAGAAAGAAAGTCAAATATAAGCCCTAATAAGACAGAAAACAGATGATAAATTCGAAGGAAAAAAATATATGAGCTCAAAAAAAAAAAAAAAAAAAAAAAAACAAGAAAAAAAACAAGAAAAAGAACAAGAGAATAAAACGAAAAAAAACAGCGGGTAAAAGGGAGGGGCAAACAGGCCGGGGCAAGGGGCCAGGGGTGAGGGGGAGGGAGAAGGGGGGGCGAGACAAAGAACACGTCGCACCCCCTCCCTCCCTCCCCCACCCCCGCCCCTCTCGCCCCTTCCGTATCACATACGCACCTCGCTCTCAGCCGCGAAATGTTCTGTCCTCCCTTGCCGATCAACAGAACCGGCAGCCTGCAAGGAACACACTCGCCATTAGGGACACTCGCCTTTATGGACACTCGCCATTAGGGCCAGTAAGGAACTCGCCATTAGGGCACTCGCTATTATGCACATCGCCATTAGGGGCACTCGCCATTAGGGCCATTAGGGAAACTCGCCATTAGGGACACTCGGGGCAATCGGGGCAGGTCGGGCCCGAGGACACTTACTTGGGGACCTTGTGGCTTGGACACTCAGGTGCACTTTTTATTTATCTATTTATTATTTATTTATTTATTTGTTTTTTGTTATTTCATTTATTTTTTATTTATTTATCTATTATCATTTTTTGCAGCTGGGCATATATTCCGCTTTTAAACAAACATTTAGGTGCACTTCCAAAAAAAATAATAATAATAAATAAAAATAATAGCATTTTCTGATAAAAAAGGAGAAAACAAGGTGCACATTTAAGTATACTTTTCGTTTTTTTTTTTCATTTTTTTACAGCTTGGTGCACATTCGTTTTTTTTAGACACTTTGATGCACTTTCCGGTTCATCAAAAAATGCAGTTTGGATTTAGTATTAAGACAAGTAGACATCTTTATTAAAAAACATTCAAAAAGAGAAAATTGTCATTCCTAATAAAAGCAATTAACAACTATTACTAATAAAAACTACATTAGTCGTCCTCCTAAAACGACTACCTGTCATCTCATTAAATAATTTAAATAAAACTGACATTCACCACTGATGCCACAACTAACTGCCATGCACGATTTCTTAAAATACATTAATCTAAATATCATTTATTCTTATATATATAAAAAAAACATGCAGTCACCCGTTCAAACACACACACACCACACACAACACACACACACAACACAACACACACACACAAAACACACACACACACACACACAAATCCTGATCTACCCATACGGACTAACCACCCTCCCTCCCCCCACCCCCACCCCTCCCCACCCATTCAGCAACCGAAACAAGGCAGCGACACGCTCGCGGCCGCTAATTCCACCAGGTGTTTGCCCAATGTCAAAATGTACGTGAAATTGGCGGATGCTGCACACTTCCGGTCCTTTCCCTTCCCCTCTCTTCTCTTATGCTCTCTCGGTCTTTCCCTTTTGCTCTCTCTCTCTCTCTCTCTCTCTCTCTCTCTCTCTTCTTCTCTCTCTCTCTCTCTCTCTCTTCTCTCCTCTCTCTCTCTCTCTCTCTCTCTCTTTTTCTCTCCCTTTCTCTCCTCTCATGACTGCATTCACGCAGTTTAATAAACTATAAAATCCTCCTCGAACCTAAACCAATTAAATAACAAAAAATCAAAACAAAAGCGAAAGATATAATTAAACAATATGATACATACCCGAGAAATTCCTTCCTCCCCCCCCCATCCCCGCCCATCACTCCATCCCCACGCTGCATCCCCTCCCCCCTTCAACCAAACTAAAATCCTCTTCTACGTACATACGATTATATAAACAAACTTATTCCTAATCACAAACCATAAACAAATATTCTAAAAACAAATCCAACATGTATTTTTAAAAAAAAAACAAAAAACAAACACAAGCGACATGCGCACTTTCCCGCCAAACGCACAACTGCAAAATACCGAAATACACCTAATCATTCCTATGACACTAAATTCATCACAAAACTTCAACGAACTGTATGTCAAGAGTTTTTTTAATATATAACTTAAAATCCTATTAATTTTCCCGGTATGCGCACTAACTTGAAAGAACCACAACCACAGCTGTAGGGAAAACTAACATGTAATAAAAACTAATTATAACGGCATATTCATCCTAATTATCCATTTGATTTTCATTCCATCCTCTATCCTACTTCCCTAATGTTGGATATTTTTATCTCTACCTCTTTTATATTTCTTTACCGCTGGGTTTCTATTCTTCCAGTCTCTGTCCAGCTCCATATCTTATCCCTATCTCCCTTTTCGTTTCTCCTCCATGCTACTGGTTCCTCTCTTCTCTCTCTCCCCATCCCTCTCCTCTCCCTATTCTCCTCCTTTTCACCACTCCTACAAAAATCACGAGAGAAAAAAAAAGCCCCTCCAATCTTTCCCTCCCCCCTCCCAGACCGTCCCTCCCCTCCTCCTCCCCTCCCATCTCCACTACAGTCCGGCGGCCAAGAGAACCACGGTATGCTAATTAACACCTGGATAACTACATACTCTCCACCTGCTCCCCCCCCCACCCTCCCTTCCCGCCCCTCCAAACGGCTGCATGACGCCCAGCGTATCAGGACAATAGCTAGAGAGAGAGAGAGAGAGAGAGAGAGAGAGAGAGAGAGAGAGAGAAGAGAGAGAGAGAGAGGAGAGAGAGAGAGAAGAGAGAGAGAGAGAGAGAGAGAAAAGGGATAGAAAAGATAAAAGAGACAGAAAGAAGAGGTATAGAAGAGAAGAGAAAGAAAGGATAAAAGAGATAGAGACAGATAGAGATAGAGAGATATATAAATAGATAAAGAGAAATAAAGAAATAAAGAAAAAGAAAGGAGAAGAGAGGGAATATATAAATAGATAAAGAGAAATAAAGAAAGAAAAAAGAAAGGAGAAGAGAGAAACGCCACCGACATGGACATCATACCTAAATCTCATCTATTAATTCTCTCCCCGCTTCATTACTTGTAACCATTGAAATCGAACAGCTGTGGTTATCAATAAACGCGTTTTTCTATTTTTTCTTTTTAAATATGTCAAACACTTTTAAAAGAAAATAACAAAAGGCAAGAAATAATAATCAAAGTGGTAATTAGTTTCTGCCTCTCCTCTGCAAACATAAAAAATCGGCAATTAATTATTCAAAAAAATGTTTTATATATATATTTTTCTTACCCTGCACCTTTTAACTTTCATGCTTTCCGACTGCACTTCATCTTTCTCTCTCTCTCTCTCTCTCTCTCTCTCTTTCATTGCCTCACTTTTTGTTCGACCTCTCGTTTTCTCTGTCTTATCTCAATCTCATTCTCATTCTCATTCTCATTCTCTCTCTCTCTCTCTCTCTCTCTCTTCTCTCTCTCTCATTGCCTCACATTTTGTTCGATCTCTCGTCTTCTCTTTCTCTCTCTCTCTCTCTCTCTCTCTCTCTCTCTCATTGCCTCACATTTTGTTCGATCTCTTCGTCTTTCTCTTTCTCTCTCTCTCTCTCTCTCTCTCTCTCTCTCTCTCTCTCTCTCTCTCTCTCTCTCTCTCTCTCTCTCTCTCTCTCATTGCCTCACATTTTGTTCGATCTCTCGTCTCTCTCTCGTCTTTCTCTCTCTCCTCTCTCTCTTCTCTCTCTCTCTCTCTCTCTCTCTCTCTCTTCTCCCTACATACACACACACACACATACCCCCTCCCCACCCTCCCCTCCCTCCCTCCCATCCCCCTCCCCTCTCACCTTGCTCTGAATCAGCAAGCGGAGCTCTGTGTCCCCGCCTGGACGGGGTTCGTTTTAACGGGGTCTCTCCTTCCATCTCCGACATCCGCTTCATCCCTACGAAGAAGAACAAGGAACAAGAACACGTTAGCGAACTGTCATCCTCGTCTCGCGGTCTCTATCCTTTCCGTCATCCTCGGGACAACGATAATTAGCAAGGGTAAAAGAAAAAGGGGGATAATTTCATAATTTCGGTCATCCTCGCTACACAACATTCATCAATATGTAGGTAAGAAAAAATAATTGACCAAAAAAAAAAAAAAGAGAAATCTTATATACATATAAAAATAAACGTACAAACATACACAAAAATATATATATACAAAACTAAAAATAAAATCTGGCTTCGGATTGACCTGACTCCAGTATGACTTCGAATCACGGCCACATAATATTCACCAATTAATAATCTATAAATATATGGATAAATAACACATAAATATAGGGGGGATTCATACTCGTTAGGACTGATCGTTAAATGGGTACAAAATGAACATAAATGTCAACTTTAAAAGAGAGAGTATGAACAAAATCCACGAAATCACAACTCCTAATAACCCAGTAATAATCAATAAAACTAAGCCCGGTAATAATAACGATGACGACAAAACGACCCAAGATAGAGAAAGCCAATGTGAAAAAAAATTACCAAGAAGCACCAAAAAAGTGAATTATAACCACGAGATAAATACAACAAAACAACAACACCAATAAAACCCAGCCACGGGATCCTCAACAAACAACAAACAACACACAGCCCCACGAGAGGCAGCGGCGAGGCCTACTCAACCACAGCGAGCGGGTCGGGGGGGGGGGGGGAGAGGGAGGAGGCGCCGCGTGGGTGACGCGCCGAGCTGGAGCGTCGTGCACTGCTTGACTGCACAGCCACGTGGGGGGAGAGGGCACGGCGCCTTGCATGAGGATGTACTGACAGGTGTGTGCTCCTCATAGTGCAACGTCGAGATGAGGGCGAACCTTTGCCATCGTGTGCGTCGGGTATGCGATTCCCACCCGTAAAGCCACGCTGGCCATCTCTACCCTCCTTTGGCCAGCGGGAAGCCGTGCAATCGCGACCGAGAGCCTTCCTCTCCCCCTCGTAAATCAAAAAATGTGCAAATACACTTCGCCAGACCCTCTCCGCCATCCCCGCCGAGCACAAGACAGGTGTTCTGATTACAGGGCTCGAATAACAGGCCACGTAACCACGCTAACCATAAGAGCGACACTTCATCATCACACTTTTTTTCCACAGGCGGCGCAGAGGCTGGCTGCTACTTATACTTACACACGCGCGCACTTTCGAATCACAGAAGACTACTTATACACCATTCTCTTCGTTGTGACGGGGGGGGGAGGGAAGGGCGTACCTGCCTCCTGCCACGGACACAGGCGGAATACGGATCGCTACTTACAAACGCACCAACGAATGCGACGGACAGGATAGCGTGGGGGGGGGGGAACACAATTTCGTGCACATACACACCGCTGGCCGAGGGAATCCACTCGATACTTACACTGATACACACAGTCTCTCTCTTAGACGCTCGATCGCCTTGGACTGACGCCACAGCAGAAGAGAAGCAGCAGCACACACACTCACAACACAGGTGTTCTCCACACTATGAATGCCAGGAGGGCGGGGGACGGGGGAGGAGGGAAGAGGAGAGAGAGGCAGGTGTGACGGCGTTGGGGACGAGAAGGGGCGGGACGGGGCAGGGGCGGGATGCCTGGCGACGGGGCGGGACGGGCGGCCGGTTGCGACGCTCCCTTGCGCTAGACTGCGTCCGTCACACCAAGCGCTGCGCTAAGGGCATGCGGGGGGAGGGGGAAGGGGGACTAGGGAAGGAGGGAAGGTAGGGGGGGGGGAGGAGGAGAGGAGGGGGAGCGCGAAGGAGGGGACAGCGCGTCAGGTGTAGGTCACATAGGAGGCCAGGCCAAGTGAGGTCATGCCCGTAGGATTCACGAGAAGCTTACAAATACCCAAACCCTCCCCCCACCCTTCGCCTCCCGACACATGCACTCGCAGGAGACAACACTCGCGCAACGGTTACCTTCTACAGGGTCGAGCTCAGAGTCCGACATGGGCGCGCGGGCGGTGGCGACAAGGCAGGAGAGGACACGACCCGGCAGGGCGGCTAGATCGGGCCGAGGAAGGGCCAAGGACGCAGCGGCGGCGGGCGAAGGGCGCCGCCTGAGCAGGATCTCGAAGGAAGGAGGAGGGCACGGGCGGGAAGGGCGGGAGCGGGGAGGGGAGGAGGCCGAGGGCGAGTGAGGAGGAAGGAAGCGGCGGGCGAAGGCGACGACGAGACGAAGCGTGGGCGGGCGGCGAGGGCGGCGGCGGGAACCGTAATGGAGAGACTGCGACCGGCCGCTCACTGCCCGCTGGCCCTCTCTCTCTCCCTCGCTCTCGCACCCCCCCGCCCCACGCCCGCCAGACGCCCGTCCGACACACACACCTGCCCGACCGCCCGTGCCTCCCTGCCCCTGCACCTGTGACCTCGGCGCCCGTCCTATGCCCGCCCACCCGAGTCGCACCTGTCCTCACCTACCCTCTGATCCGGGCCCGAGGTCGACCTCTCGAGTCCCCCTCCGATCTACTCGGCCGAAGGTCCCCCTCAAGCACTGCGGATAGGGCGTACCTGGCCCGGGTGGCCGGGGCGCTGCGGGCGTGCTGAAGGTCGTCCCTGCTTAGCGCTGCGCGTGGCGTGCGGGCGGGAGGGCGTGAGTGCGTGGTGTGGTGGAGGAGGTGATGGCGTGGTGTGGCGTGGTGGTGCCAGCGCGGCGCCAGGCAGGTCCAACCCCCCCCCCCCTGGACCCCACACATGGCCAATTCTCATTGGTCCTTCCTGCGCCCCCCCCGCCCCGCCGTGGCCGTGCCCCCCAGGGGAGCGGGAAGCCCTTTGCCCACGGTGCTTCTGCTTCGCCCATTTCGGCCCCTGCGTCGGGACTCTTGCCCCGGGGTCCGTGCCTCAGTGGAGCCCAAGGGAGGGATGACCCCAAGGCGGGCGGGTCAGGGGCGGCGGCGGCACTGCGGCACGTGGCGGCCCTAATTGTCGCCACATTGTTTACCCGTTGCCATGGCGACGCGGCCGCTGACCAAAACAAACGCTGCTCGGAGGGCCTCGGAGGGCCGCCCCGGCACGCCGGCACGCTAGCGGGGGGGGAGGAGGGAGGGGAGGGGGAGGGGCGTGTGCTCCCTCTGGCCCACCGCGGCCCACCGTGACCTGGCCAAGACCAAGGCTCGTCCGGGCGAGGCGGAGCGGCACTGGCACGGCCCACTCCGGCCCACCGAACCCTTCGACCCACCTTGGCCCATTCGACCCCTTCGACCCACCCTTGCCTCACCCCTCCTGCTCCGCTTTCAGTTGAGCCCACTCAGCCCACCCATCGCTATCTGACCCTCCCTCAACCCACCACAGGTCACAACATGCATGAAGTTCATGACGAAGGTTGAAGACCCCCCCCTCCCGCCCCCAACTCCGCCTCTGCCTCCGACCCTCAAGGTGCATAGTAGGAGAGAGGGAGAGAGGGAAGGTGGAGGTGAGGGGAGAGATGAGGGAAATGCAAGGAAAAGGGAATCTTGTACTACCCAGACATAAGCTCCAATATTGCTTTTCCGCGTGTCCGTACCGCACAAACCAGCTTTCCGCGCTCTTGCACGCACGCCACATGCTTCTTACGTCACCGCTGGACTTGTGCGCACTCATGCACTATGCAAGGAATACAGGTTTGCGAAAACGAACGCCAATAAAGCTTTGTAGCGTTGTGCATTGTACCGTGCACTCCGATATGCTGCACCGTGCAGCCGATATGCTGTACGTGCACGCCGATATGCTGTACCGTGCACGCCGATATGCTGTACCGTGCACGCCGATATGCTGTACCGTGCACGCCGA